GAGTCGCCCGGAGCGGGTCGCCGGCCGGGGGCGCGCCACCGCTGCCGTCAGCCCGGCCGACGAGGGGGCGAAGGAAGGGTTCTCCCGGGGTTCCGGGGACCGGCCCGCTTCGGTGACCAGTCTGTGTCGGCCCCCGTGACCGGGCGACAGGCCCGACATCGGTGACGGGTCCGTGGCTATCCCCGGTGACGGGGCCCGACGTCGGTGACGGGGCCCGACACCGACGAGAGGCCCGACACCGGTGACGGGTCCGTGGCTATCCCCGGTGACGGGGCCCGACACCGGCGACAGGCCCGACACCGGTGACGGGGCCCAACGTCGGCGACAAGCCCGATACCGGCGACGGGTCCTTGGTGATTCCCGGTGCCGGGGCCCGACGTCGGCGACAGGCCCGACACCAGCGACAGGCCCGACACCAGTGACAGGCCCGACACCGGTGACAGGCCCGACACCGGTGCCGGGGCCCGACGCTGGTGACAGGCCCGTAGTTATCCTCGGTGACGGGGCTGGCTCCTTGTGGAACCCCGCGGATGGGAACCCGGCCCCCAAACCCTCGTGGCGGAACCACCCGCGGCTACGGCCCGGCCCAGTCCCGAAGCCTCCCGCTTTCGCCTCGGCTTCCGGCGAGGTCACGTGGTCCTGCGCTGCCTAGGCAACCGCGGGGCGGGGCTCCAAGGTCAATCCCCCCCCATCTCGTGCTAGTGACGTCACACGCCCAAGCCCCACCCCTTGCATCCTTATAGGGATCGTCCCCGGCTCAGGACCAAATGCTTGGACGAGGAGATCCCACCCGCGCCCTTCTTTTTCCTCTGGTGCCGGTGTCCTGGATTTCAAGGAACAGAGCGAAGAGGTTCTGAGGTTTTGGCTCACACGTGTGTGAGTTCATAACACCAGTGGATGCATTCTTTTTCCCCTCAGTAAAGATGAAGCAGTAGTTGCTGGACAGTGTGCCAGAATCGCGCCAGAATCGCAGGAAGTAAAACTAGGAAGTTCCAGTTTCATTTCTCTTTTACTTCTGCCTAGAGATTACCAAGTATTCCCTAGAATTATTAAATGTGATTACTTGTGAGAACTTTTATCTTTAAAAACGTGGCTAAGCCGGGCGCCGATGGCTCACGCCTGTAATCCTAGCTACTTAGGAGGCTGAGATCTGAGGATGGCGGTTGAAAGCCAGATTGGAAAGAAAAGTCCATGAGATTTTTATCTCCAATAAACTGGAAACACTTAATCTCCAGAAAACTGGAAGTGGTGCTGTAGCTCAAGTGGTAGAGGGCTAGCCTTGAGCTAAAGAGCTGAGGGACAGTGCCCAGGCCCAGAGTTCAAGCCCCATGACCAACAACAACAAAAAAAAATTAAAAAATTAAAAACAAAAACAAAAAAACGTGGCTGCCAGGCGCTGGTGTCTGATGCTTGTCACCCTAGTTACTTGGTGGCTGAGATGGAGGATTGTAGTTCAAGGCCAGCTCAGGCAGGAAATTCCACGAGGTTCTCTTCTCCAATTAGCCACCCAAAAACCTGAAGTGGAGCTGTGGCTCAAGTTGCAGAACACGTGCCTAGAGTGAAAAAGCACAGGAACAGCTTCCAGGTCTTGAGTTCAAGCCCAGAGACCACCGTGCGTGGGTGCGTGCTTGCGTGCGCGCGCGCACACACACACACACTTTAGCAACACATAAATCTGTATCTTAAAAGTATTCAGAGGATTGGGTTCCTCCCTCCTCTGATTTATTTGCTTTGGAGAAGGAAGAGTAATTTCTTCTCTAAATAATACACAGTGGTTATTGTTAAATGTTTTAACTCATTGAGCCCTCAGAACAAGCAGGTTTATGAGTACTCTTATTCTTGTTTAACAAACAGGAAAACCTAAATAAATAAAAACACAGGTTGTTGGTGTTTTGTTTTTTCTTCTTGTTGTTTTGTTGTATGGAAGTTTGAAGCCATGACATTGAGCCTGCTAGGCAAGTACTCTGTCACTCAAACCCCAGTGAATACCAATGATAGTTTTATAGGACTTTTTCAATCAGCATTTATTGTTAGTTTAAAATTTTTCTTTGCTTGCTTTTCAGTGCTAGGGATTGGACCCTGATTGGCCTTATGCAAGTGATCCACCACCGAGTTCACTCCTTTTACTTTTTTTTATTTTTTGGGGGGTCCGGTTGTGGGGCCTGAACTCTGGGCCTGGGTGCTGTCCCTCAGCTCTTCAGCTCAAGGCTAGCACTCTACCACTTGAGCCACAACGCCACTTCCAGCTTTTTTTCTTTTTGCTTATGTGATGCTGGGGAATCGAATCTAGGGTCTCATGCATGCAAGGCAAGCACTGTACCACTGAGCCACCTTCCCAGCCCCTCCTTTTACTTTTTTTATTAATAAGTTTTTTATTGTGAGAATACTGTACAGAGGGGTTACAATTACATGAGCAAGGTAATGAGTACATTTCTTATCAAGCATTGTAGCCTCCTCCTTTGTTTCCCCTTACCGTCCCTGTCCTCCTATCCCCCCTCCCCTTTTATTTTGAGATCAGTGTCTTGCTGGGTGCATGTGGCTCATGCCTGTAATCCTAGCTACTTAGGAGGCTGAAATCAGAGGATCACAGTTCAAAGCCAGCCTGGGTAGGAAAGTCTGTGAGACTCTTATCTCCAGTTCACCACCGGAAAACCAGAAGTAGTACTATGGCTCAAGTGGTAGAATGCTGTCCTTGAGCTGAAGAGCTCAGGAACAGCACCCAGGCCCAGAGTTCAAGCCCCATGACCGACCAAAAAAAAAAATACACTGAGTTCCAGCTCCAGAACTGGTGGGGGTTCGGGAGTGGGGGGAAGATATATAGCCAGATGCTGATAGCTCACAGATCTGAGGATCATGGTTTGAAGCCAACCTGGGTAAGGAAGTCCGTGAGACATTTATCTCCAATTAATCACAAAAAAAGCCAGAAGTGGAGCTGTGGCTCAAGTAGCAGAGCACCAGCTGTGGACAGAGCAAAAAAGTAAGCAAGAGTGCTCTTGAGTTCAAGCTACACATGTAAATATGTTATAAAGAAAATTAATGCATGCTTGTTTTCCTTTCTCCCACTTTGACTTTTACATAGGACAAGTATCTCGGTGTCACTCTGGGTCCCCTTTAAGTGAGACGAGGTTAAAATTTTATACACAGAAGAGAGACTCCAGTCAACAAAATCAACATTAATTGGAAAGGAATGATGTTGTCCTTAAAGAACTTACAAAATACCATCTACAACCCGGTGAGCAAGTTTTGTGAATTCGCTTTTTTCATATGGCAGAACTAGGAAAATCCAATGGAATGGAAATTGTGCACTGGGAGCAGGGCAAGAAAAAAATGAATTTAGTGAACACAAGTAACGTCCCTGCTGTGGGATAGGGACAGTGGGCGGTGCTCTCTGAACAAAAGGTCCAGCTCTCATTCTCTAGCAGAAGAATAGGTCACGGTGACAACCAGGTGATGGAACAGTTTACAGAACATGGGAGAACCAGAAGGAATGGAAATCCCTGTGTGTGGGCTCAGACCATAAAAACAATAAAAAGGAATATGGCTTTCTTACTTTATGAACTTTTCTTCTCCTCTTCTTTCCTTTTCCTCTTCTTTTTTCCCCTTCTCTATTCTTTCTCTATAGTTAAACATTCACAATATCGAGTGCCATATTGCACTGAAGTTAGGCTCTCATTTGTAGTTCTCTCCTTCCAACAATCACATTACTACCTTTTTTTTTTTTTGCTGGTTGTGGG